AGCTGGTGATCCAATTGCACAATTTCTCGGGAAGCCCATAGGAAGGGAGCTTCGAAAGAAGCGCTTTGTGCCAAACCCGATCGAAGGACTTCGCAATGTACTAACGGCCAACGCCTCCCCCTTGGACTCTACTGCCTCCGCCCATCTATGGGTTAGGTAGACCAGAAGATCACCAGCTGATTGACCCCGACGAAAACCGTATTGGCAGTCACTAATCAGCTGGTGATCCTCAAGGTACCGGATGAGCTGGCAGTTAATAATGGATTCCATTATTTTGGAGAACAAGGAGGTGATCGCGATAGGCCTATAGTTGGACGGGTCTGAGCGGTCGCCTTATTTAGGGATCGGGTGGACAAAAGCTGTCTTCCATGAATTCGGGAAATACGCCTTGGGAGTAGGAGTACTGGAAAAGACGCGTCAGGACCGGTGCCAACTCCAGAGCACACGTCCTCAGCACAATTGGGGAGATTCCGTCAGGCGCACTCGACTTCTGGATGTCCAGGTAGAGAAGTGCTTTGCGAACCGAGCGCTGTGAGAACAGCACATCCGGCATGGAGCACTCACACCGCGGGATGGTCGGTTTTCCCCCCGTCATCAAGAGTCGAGTTGGACGCAAAAAGGGAGCCTAAAAGGTCAGCTTTGTCTTTTGCGTCTTGGGCCAGTGAGTCGTCCTCCCTGTGCAGAGATGGTAGTGATGGCTTACAGAAATTCCCTTGGACAGCCTTGGCGAGAGACCAGAATGCAAGGGTTCCCGAAGGAAGGCGAACTAGTTTCTCGCCAATTCTGCCTATGTGCTCTGACTTTGCCCTGGCAATAACTCTTTTGAAGGACCTGGAGGTGAAGTTATACTTCTTTTTAAGTGTGCTGGTGTTTACATCCCGAGCCGCCGAAGCCGCAGTCCAGGCTTGATAACACTCCTGCTTACTTCGTAATGCAGTCTTACAGGAGCGACCAAACCAAGGCTGAGATCTGCCTCCGATGGGTACTACATATGATGGAATAAATAGTTCCATTCCCTGTAGCAACACATCAGTGACAGAGTCAGCAACAGCGCTGGGATCATCCGGCGAGAAGCAAACCCATGGGTAGAATGCAAAGAAAGACCGCATTCTGTCCCAATCCGCCGACCTGTAATGCCATACACGGCGGCAACCTGCAGAACGCAACCGCGAAGGGAGCGTGAGTTGCACCATACTCTGGATCAGACAATGATCCGAAGAGCCGAGAGGGGCATCGACGGAAACCTGATATCCGTCCGGATGAGAGGTCAGCAGAAGGTCCAACAGGGAAGGTGTATGATCCTCCACATCTGGAATCCGCGTAGGCGAAGTAAACAGTTGTGTCAGACCATATACCAAGGCAAAGTCATAAACAGATCTCCCCGCATGATCGGTTAAACGTGAACCGAGCCATTCGGCATGGTGGGCGTTAAAATCGCCAAGGATCACGATCTCTGCGGATGGGACCTGTTGTAGCAAATAATCTGTAGCCATTTGGACGTGGTCGATGAGTCGGTCTGTTTCGGCATTACCGCTATGGGACCTATAGAGGCACCCATAGACGCGCGGATGGTCGTCGCTGTCTACGCGTAGCCAAAGGATGGACAGGTCCGAACCTTCAAGACTGCCGAGGCGTCGAGAACAGATGTCCTCTCTGACATACACGCAAACTCCAGCCCGAGGCACAAAGGAGTGCTCCAATTTGTACCCCGGGTAGGAGAGATACGAAATATCAGCGGGAGAGGAAACCTGCGTCTCGGTCAGAAAGAGCAAGGCCGGCTTCGCCGTCTCGAGTGGTAGTGGACGGCGTTTAGGTTAGAGTGAAGTCCCCTGATGTTTCAGAAATTCACGGATAGCGTGGCAGGCGTCGCCTTGGTATTGTTGCTCAGTTTGCCCCGAGCATTTATGTTTTTGAGCGGAATTTTGCCCCCCCCCCTAGAATACGCCTGAGCACCCACGCTCAGCATTGGAATAACATGGTCGTGGATGCTCAGCGAGGGATTCTCCGGGGGTACTGGTACCCTCCTGGGGTAGTCTATCGTGTAATTCCGCTACCATGTTGATGGGGGGGGGGGGGGAATTGGACCTCCGGCCACCTGCACTCACCAGACGAAACGCAGAAGCAGAGCCTCTACTTCACGCCGGTATTCTGTGAGGTCGTAGTACCAACCCGGCTCGAGCCGGCCCATACGTGCAACAGCAAATACTGCTGCGTGGCTCTACCACCGTAATAATGTAATATAATATATAATAAATAAAAATATAATGAAAATAAATGAGAGGTATCATCTAATTTTTTACCGTGCTGATGACATTCCACGGCCTCCACTCGAGCCTCGAGGCTGTCGAGTCGTTGTTTGCATTCGTTAATAGCTGCAACCAGATTTGTGATGGTGCCCTTTAGTTCCTGCATATTAGTGCACATCTCTTTTAGCTCTTGCCGTAGTAGTCTTAGTTCAGTCGCTAATTCAGTGGACTCTATATCCGATATCGTTGGGGTATGTACAGTTGGAATCGATGGACTCGGATTATTAGCGCGACCACGTAAGGTGACATTCGTACAGCTGGAATCCATTAAATCCGGCTTAATAGGCGTGTTTGTGTTGTCAGTCTTTGGTTCCCTACTTGAACATTCCTGACATTTCCATTTTCTTTTATGTTCTGTAGTCATGGTATTAAAGAATCGTTTTTCACATACATTTGCACACAGAAGGTCATAATGCTTGGTGCAAACATAACATTTAAAAAACTGTCTGCTAACAATTTATTGTGAACATCCATTACAAAGGACTTTATTCATAGTTGGAGGCGCCATCTTTCTCTTTACAGTGGTAAACTCGAGGTAATTCAATTGACCGGTTGAAGAAATATTGATTATTTTGTTTCTATGATTTACTTCTAGATGGCGCCGTTACGCAGATCTTTAATACCCTATGAGTTGTGAATAAATTTTAGATTGTACTGAGTAGGTATATAACCGTCACAAGATTAAGTATTAAAATTACTAACTATTTAAAGTACTGAAGATAACTAATGGTATAGTTTAGTCTAATTTCACTATGTTTATCGTCTTTTGAACTATTATATTAAAGGCAAAACTAGTATTTTGTCACAATACATTCAAATACAACTTACTAAACTTAAACTTATCTTCACGCACAATCCCTGACGGGGTAGCCAGAGAGAACAGATCGCCAAGTGTCACGATCCTTACATACCTCTTTCGCTTCTTTCAGATTCATTATCTTCTTCATACATGCACGTCTAGGTATCCGAGTACTCTTGACCCTACCCTCTTCGAGCAATTTGCTCACATAGGCTTCGAAAGTTAGTCTCGGTCTACCTCGACACCTTTTAATATTAACTTTCGCGCTATATATTTTCTTCGCCATTCGGTCTTCACTCATTCGCTCAACGTGCCCAAACCACCGAAGCACGCCCTTATCAATTTTTGTAATAAGGTCATCTTTCAAACCTGCCATATTGCGAATCTCTTCGTTTCGCTTTCGGTCGGCCATGGTAACGCCGCACATTTTACGAAGAGATCGCATCTCCACTGCATTCAACTTGCTTTTATGCTTCTTCTGGCATACCCAGGTTTCGCTGCCATATAACAAAGTCGGTACCAACACTGCGTTATGTATTGCAAGGCGTGCACTCTTCACTACGCCTTGCCTTTTGACTAACGCAGTCAGGGCACCATTGACTTTGTTCCCGGCAGCGACACGCCTGTCCACATCTAAATCACATCTTCCATCCCGGCTAAAAGCACTCCCCAAGTATACAATTTCATTTACTTGTTCTAGACATACAATTACAATTACAATTCAAATACAACGAATTTGAAAATCTTAAAATCTTTCTTTCTCACACAACAATACACATAGATAGCACTATCACTGTTATATAGTAGCTAAAACCACTGAATTTTAACGTTACTATACAAAATAACTCACTGGTACTATTTTTAAATTAAATATTTAAACGAGACGATGTTACTTGTGTGCCAGCGCCATCTGCACTTAGATCAATTACTTAGATCAATCAGAAAATATATATCACATAAGAAATCATAAAAGCAATATGTATGTTGTATATATTTCCAAATAACTTGCGTACATCCTTACCCTTTCTCACAGGTCATTATATCATCTGCTATGTAGAGATTGCTTGTAAGCGATAAGGCCGCCAATTGTACCTTTGGATTTTTTTATTTGTATTTTTTTCTCTTATTTATCATATATTTATTATTTCACTCATTCAATCTTAACACTAATTACTAAAGGTGCAAAGTAATAAATATGTGCATTTCGTCATTACCCTAATGTAAATTTATGCAAATTATTATCAATACCTAACATCAATGACTTTATTACAACTACAACACGTTAAGCGGATGAACGGACTAATCATAGAATATTTCAAAAATGTTATATATACGTTTCTAATACGTCAAATAACAATTCCTTATATAGTATTATTCAACGTTAAATAGCAATACTGCCAAAAGTAATAAATAAAAATACATTTCTCCAATGATTTTGCAATTTATCACAAAAAATATGCATAATATTGCATATTCTAAAAAAATACCGCTTTATGCAGCGTTCTCTGGCTCAGCGTCAGTGAATACAATATGTGAACATTGAAATAAGTAATTTATGTTGTAAATAAACCACTTTAATTTAAAAAAACTTACAAAATTATCACTTCTTACAAAATTATCACCACAGTAACGAGGAGACGTTATAAATATGCTTCCGAAATTTTCATTAATGTTTTTAAAAAATTATTGTTCCTCTGAGAGATATTTACCCTTCGTTGAATAAATAAAAATTGCAATTAAAAAATAAATCCTGAATATAAAAATTAAATGAAAAAATGGCAAATAAAAAATTAGAATACAACTATATGTGCTATTTGAATTACCGTGTTAGATTTTCCTATAAATAATTGTTTTTTTACAAGCCTTACATTCTAATTTACCTAATTTCCTTACAGTGCCAGAAGCTCCACCGCAATACGTGCGATGTGAACCTCTGTCAGCGCAGTCATTGCGAGTCTGGTGGGAGCCGCCGCCTGCAGCCGAACGTGGAGGACTGATAATAGGCTACGAGATAACCTACCAGGTAAATTAAATTATTCATTCATTACATCCTACCAAAAGTCCACTGCTGAACATGGGCCTCTTCATAGATTCTCATTTTTTTTATAGGATAGGTTGACAAACGAGCACACAGTCCACCTGATGGTAAGTGGTTGCTGTGGCCCATAGACATCTTCATCTATCCTCGCTTGCAAATCAAAATGCAGATGCTTTGTCACCCGTGAGGACTAAGATGGAATGCCTCTTTTCCAGTAAAAAGGGTCTCCGGTTCTCTACACTCACCATACGAAACACAGCAGTTTTAAGCTGCTATTTTACGCTGGTATTCTGTGAGAGCGTGGTCCTTCCCCGGTCGAGCCGACCCATTCGTGCTAAATACTAATATAGCTGCAGCATTTATATGGCCTATGTTTGCCATAGTTGCCCTGCTTGACAGACTGGTTGGTCTGTGTTTCTTCTTCAACTCGTAAATAACTACTCGGCTTAGCTTTCCATTTACGTCCGTCGAGTTGGGGATTAACATTTTTTTACAGAAAGGTTACATTATTATGAGCACACAAAGTTTCAACATGCAGAAACGCGTACTTTTTTAGATAAAAATTATTGAAAATCAATTATTTTTGCAATATTTATGTCAATTCCCACCGTAATACTGACGGCATTTTGTATCATCATTGCCATCGTCAGTAGTATGGAGTGTAGAGTAGAAGGATGAACTCTGTATATGAAAAGTATCCCTAAAAACGCGTCCAATAAGGGTACCGCTGCAGTAGCATAGGATAAATTAAAAAAAAGCGCTACAATTAATTAGAATAAGATGAAGAAATAAACAAGGACCGACCGAATCCGCTTGGTTTTGAACTACGTAAATAGTTAAGATTTTATATACTGCCATTTTACTTAATACTGTAGTCATGTAATTTTTTAAATATTTGAATTCAGCTGGCTTCACTCCGTCTACAACAGCTATATTCATATCGTAGTTTTTCAGACGCCAGCGCTTTTGTGGTAGGTTTTGGAACCACTATTTTCAGTATATAGTGGGACACTTTTTCAACTTTCGCACCTTATTCTAAAGATGGTTCTCCTTCTACTCTACACTCCATAGTCAGTAAGGATATCGATTCTTTCCGAAAACGATCGATTTTTAAATCTATTCGAATCGTAAGCTGATGGATCGATTAAAAAAATATCGATTTCTAAAGTACCGATATTTTTTCATGTTTGCATTTATAATTTAAATATATATAATTTAAATGCATTTTATGAAAAACAAGAAAGATACCACCAATAATTTAAAATTAAAAAATTTGTACAGCCGACTTCAATATAAATTATTTAAGAATAACTCAATACCATTGGTCTGACCTTGATCAAGTTCATATGTGACCACACGAAAACTATCAGCTTTCATATAAAAAAGAGGGACGGAACAAAGATGTGTCAGTTTGTTGCAAAATATTTTTATATTTGTTCTTCCATCCAAGACAATTATTATTATTTCTTAACTTAATAGGTAATTATATATTCTTGGTTTGCGTATAGACAATCTTCATAAAATAATATCACTTACTTTATGAAGTAGCGTAAAGTTACTGTTATTAATAATTTAACTATCACGAATTATACTTAATCAGCTTATTGACATTACATAATATATCAGGCGACGGATTCTTCGAAGCAGGGTTGTGTGAACCTCCCCCTGTCTTCTATAGACCATTCTACGTCTGTCATTGCAGAAGAGACAGACCCTCGTCTCATCAGAGAAGAGTACGGTCCGCCACTGTTCTAGAGTCCACTCGCAATGATTGCGAGCAAACTCTAGTCGATCTCTGCGATGCTGTGCAGTAAGTTTTGGACCTTTAGCAGGTCTATGGGCTGTTAAACTCTTTTCGTGTAAACTTCTGCTTATCGTAGAAACACTCACAGATGTTCTCCGGACGTCCATCGAAATCGGTTTATCCAGTAAAAAGTTATGAGGTAACACACATAAAAAAAACATACACTCGAAATGAGTACTGTCTCCTTTTTGGAAGTCGGCAGAAAAAAATATCAACCCCCATCTTGACGGATGTCAATGGGGATTGGCATAAATATTGTAAATATAATTGATTTCAATAAAAAAAAAATCTGAAAAAGTACGCGTTTCCGCATATTGAAACTGCGCGTGTGCTTATAATAATGTAACCTTTTTGTAAAAAAAACCTATCAACCCCCAACTCGACGGACGTCAATGGAAAGTCGTACCAACTACTCCCGAATTAGGCCTCTCTCAAAGTACGATTAGGATTTCCCATAATCGTAATACTAAGTATGAGAGGGATTACAATCCCAGTACCAGACGTCTAACACTATTTAAACTGCTTCCGTCATCGGCCTATATGTCTTACGTTTTAGGTTAGGATGTTCAACAGGCGGTATACCTGTCGAAAACCAAGAGAGTTTTCTGGGATTTCCCATAATAACCTCTTACAACAGCCGCTGCACAAGATCTTGAAGTGTTTGAAATTAAATCTGTACCCGATATGGAATCAAAAAGTATGGATCACGCACAAGTAAAAAAGTAGGATAATGTCTCGCTACAAGTAGCACCACAATGCATTCTCCTCTCACACAACACATTTTTAACAATGTTTTGTCCCGTGGGTCGTAAGAGGCGACTATTGGAAGTGCCAGAAAAGTGTTATGGTTTTCTAATGATGTATAATATGTAAAAACACACTTACATTTCGTTCTCACTTTCGTCCATATTCACCCGGCAAATTTTTACTGCAATATAGATGTGTCTCCATGATGCAAAAGAATGTATTTCCTCTTCTTTGTAGTTAATATAGGCTCCTTTGAAAGGATTTCTCCCTGCTGAAATATCACACATACACACACACACACACACACACACACACACACACACACACACACACACACACACACACACACACACACACACACACACACACACACACACACACACACACACACACACACACACACACACACACACACACACACACACACACACACACAAACACTAGCGCACGTGCGTACCTACACAGGCACGCACCCACTTACGCCCGTAAACACATAGAAATTTGGACTTGAAAATAGGTCCCATATTACCCTAATAATAAAAATACAAGCGCACTAACATCTTTATGTATGCTAATGTTTTGAAATTTCTATGTAATTTCTAGGCAGTCAGCTCTGACGGGATGCTGGAGTCGATCCCGGAAACGCGTCGAACGGGTGGCTCGGAGACGGTGATATCCGCGTTACGTGCCGGCAACTACTCGTTGCTGGTGCGCGCGCGTACCGCGCCCGGCGCCGGCCCGCCAGCTCACGCACACTGCCTTACGCTCGACGACGGTGACTATTGCTATTTTCTAAAAACACTTCTATGTATACTACATACTTCAAAGACATGTATGTATGCTAACTAAAACACTTATATGTATATTGTATACAACTTCAAAAATTCTATGTATACAACTTCAGAGACTACTAGACCGGCAATTCAGAACTAAACTGTGGCGTAACTGTGGTCCCACCGGCTCGGGCCATTAAGTGGCATGGTAAATACACGACGCAGTTGTATTTTCATTAACAACAGTTACTGTTTTTAGGCAAATTCGACTCTGTGTCGTATGGCTTAGCATTGAGTTGCTGCACCAAGAGCCGCGGTTTTGAATCCTATACGGAACAAGTATTTATATGGCTTGGAGTTTCAGGTCTAGATGTTTGTCTTTGTAAAATGTAGGTATGTATTTATACTGTCTTCACGATACTGAAGAAAATTCTAGCGTTTTCTTTTTAATAAAACCAAAAAAATACCAAATAAAGTTACATATTTATCTGAAATAAACTTCTAATCACGTGCATCAAGAGTGCACATAAATAATGACACCGTTTTCTTTGTCACATATACAAATACACATAAACAAAAATCAGTGTTAGATTGTCGCTAACAATATTTACACTTCACAAAAACAAATAATTAGTCTTCTCGTCAGTTTGCAGTCAACTAAAGACGTTCCTCCTAGCTCCTAGTTCTGCTACTCGATACTAGAAGGCGCTAGTAGTAACTAGTGTCGCCATGTACCAGGCATTAATTGTGGCACGCAACAGAAGTAATGGAGAATGAACCTCAACTTATTACACAATGTATTAGTACCGTAGTTCCTGTTTAATAATAAACATAGAAGTATTTTATGTTTTTATTTAAGGATACTTATATACGTCATCTTTGAAATTCCGTCGCCATGTAGTGACGGAGTAAGAATATCCACTACCATGGGGTAGTAGTAGCAGTAGTAATAGTAATTAGTTCTTCTCGTGGGTGTCGTCAGAGGCGACAGAGGGAAATGTGATGGGATGCAGCAGCATCTTCCTGATAACAACTCTAAATAATAATAACAACTGCGGTTGCCAACCTGCCTGCGAATCCTGGCAACTACGACAAATTCTTCCATATTAGGCAGTTTATGGAGAAGGACAGGATTTCTGCTTTAGACTTACGAATCTATAACCAAAATATTTCGTATATAGTCTGTTCACTAAGATAGTGTCGGTACTCTTGGAGGTGCACTTATTATTTTGCTTTTTTTATTGTGTTTGTTAAATAAATGTTTTTCTGTTAATTAATTAGAATCCTATTTTATTCTAATGGTTATTGTGATAAAATACGAATATAAATAATAAACACAACTCAGGGAGCAATGAACCTTACACAACGGCGTTTTGGTTTAAAATCCTAAATTCTCTTGCGGTTGTATGGTGCACGCGACCATCTTTGATGTCGCGGCGGCGTCTCTCAAAAGATGCGGCACGTACCAAGGCGGCGCGATACAAAGGCGACCGTATCTATGCGCACAGACTATAAATATAATTTTCACTTTATTTTACAGTACCTGGACCACCTGCCGATATAAAAGCTCTCGCAAATACAGAGAGCTCAGTGATTGTGAGTTGGCTGTCACCGGTACAGAAGAACGGTAAAATACGTCACTACACAGTTTACAACAGGCCACAAAGGTTTGTATTTTATTTATTTTTTCAGTTTACTGATGTTTTAAATCCTACAAAATGAATTATTACACATAGTAGAGTATTTTAGCTGCAGCACGGATTGGTTTGACCAGGGAAAGATCACGCTCGCACATAATACCAACATTTAAAATCGGCATAATACACCGTGTAGTGGTGGTATAAAAATATCCACTACCCCACATCCTCACGTGTGTGTCGTAAGAGACAAAAGAAGGACATTTAACAAGAGATGGACAGCAGCATCTTCTGAATTAAGCTACAATTTTTTTAATAATACTGCGTTGCTAACCCGCTTCCAAGTGAGGCAACTACGGTAAATATTTCGATAAGGTAAGAAGACTTTCGATAGGTTGTGGTGGAAATGGTAATTCTCCTATGGTGGTTAATGACTAGAATCGAAGATTATATTTACTGTATAAGTCATTTTGTACTTCTCATAATACGAAAAAGGCAAAGATACAATGTCAGAGATAGGATAGTTGTATAGTCAAAAACAATTATATCTAATAATTCAATGATAAACGAGTTAACACTCCTCTGCAAACTACTGGTTTCTGCAGCCCATGAACACCTGCAACCAACTGCTGCAACTTCTGTCTAGACAGTGTCAAAAAAATAGCAGAAGATAATGGAAAAATTACTACAAAAATGTAAATCGTTAAGAGTCCAGAGATAAGAGATACCTTATTTATAAAACTTCTGGACAGAACAGGCCAGCACTCGCACATAACCGTCCTTCACATGGAGGGTGAAGAGGAGTATCAGGTGGAAGTCCGTGGTCTGCAAGAGCATCAGCTCTATGAGTTCTGGGTGACGGCAGCAACGACGGCCGGAGAAGGGGAAATGAGTGCCATTGTTGTCAGAAAACCTAGTAGTAGAGGTATGTGGTTTTTTATTTCATAATCAAATTAATTTGCTGTCCTCCTTGTGTTTATTATGTATTTATGTAGGTCTTAATTACAAAACATATTATAAATAATATTTACTCATTTTATTGTAGCCGTTGGCAATAAATTACTTTAATCATATTCATTATTAGTAGCTTAGCTATTAACATTAGAAATTGTCTATGAAATCAAAATAGGTATCACTTTCCTTTCTAATCAATTGGGATCCTTAGATTTGAACTAAACTCGATGTCATATTTGGCTTTTTTTAATCAAAGATGTGTTTTACTTTATTGTACTGAAGTGATAAACGAACTCACAGTCCATCTAATGGTATGTGGCTACTGCATCCTATAGACACTTGCAACCAACTTTAAATAGAGAAGGACACAGATGTCGTTTCTGAGTATTAACTTTTGGTGGAATTCCTCACCGCTTGTAATCAAACTGGCTCTCCATACCACACGGATCAGATCATAGACACTAACTACCCAGACAGACTTCAATGCAGAAAGGGAGTACTACTATCTAGACAAAAAATTGTCCTGAAAATATTCCTCATATGTGTGGCTACTGCATCCTATAGACACTTGCAAAAAACTTTAAATAGAGAAGGACACAGATGTCATTTCTGAGGACTAACTTTTAGTGGAATGCCTCACCACTTGTAACTAAACTGGCTCTCCATACCACACAGATCAGAACACAAATACTAACTACCCAGACAGACTTCAAGGCTGGAAAGTAGTCCTACCATCTAGACAAAAAATTGTCCTGAAAGTATTACTCACGTGTACTGAAAGTATTTTATTCCTCAGACATACAATTTTTACTATGATATTGTTGCGCTCCACAATTGATGGAAGGTACATAGCAATACTAGTTACCACTAGCCCCCTCTCGTATCGAGTAGCAGAACTTGGAGAGTCAAGATCCTTCTAGGAATTTCCATGGAAGAATTTTCTAGAACTATCTACACCTAGTCAATCGGGACCGATATGTACTCAAACATTCTAGAAGTTTATATAGTAGAAGGTTCTGGAAACTACCTGAGGCCCTATATAAGGCCAGTATAGACCACAACCACGAGATTGAATTGGCGATACAAGCGAATACTTCGAAGAAATACAACTGCGAACTAAAGTGATCAGTAGTACAATTGTGTTTCATAATTATTGTCAATTTTGGTAATTCAATCCGCAGTTTTTTCTTAATTGTCTCGAACCCCAAGCTCGTAACATTATTTTAATTTTAGGACCAAATTTTATTGTTTTAGTATATTTTATTTTACTGTATACATTTTGTTCTGTATATATTTTATTTATCGTATACATTTTGTTTTATAATTTTTCACATTTGTATATTTTGTGAACTCACAGAAGGCCACTTGTTAGAGTAGCGCGACAGTCTAATTGCTCCATAAACCTCTCAGAAGTAAGAGGAGGCATGTGCCCAGCTATGGGACATACATAGGCAAAAACTTTTCTTTCCTTTGGTTTTATAACCTCTACATTGGTCGGTGAGTAAAAGTATTGTCAAAGACTCCGCTTTACCGATTTACCTGTCAGTCAAAGGTATTAAAACCGCATACAATTTCAAATATAAATTTATTTAAATCTTTGTTATTATAGAGTTTTAGGTAGAAGTAATTTCTTTAGAAAAACTCTATTATAACAAAAATGAAAATAAATGTTTGTTATACGTTTGAATACTGATTCTATTAACGCATTTAACAGGAACCACAGTGTTTTTGTTACATATTGTATATTCCGAAATGTGCATTGTACAATTCAGCGCCATTGAAGCTGTGGTCGTTCCCGCGCCGCATCATAGCGGCGGCGGGGCGGCGCGCGGTGCTGGCGTGCGGCGCGGCGGGCGCGGGCAGCGCGGCGACACGCGTCTGGACTCGGCGTCACCCGCCCCCGCCCGCTTCTGACACGCGCCTTATCATCGACTCGTACAGACTCATCATGCCCAGTCAGTATACGCTCTTTCTTTCTTTCTTGTTGTAATTTATTTCACTACACGGTTAGTGGACATAGAAGGTTATCTATACAAGTAAATAAAATTGAAGTGTCTGTTCGTAATGTCAAAATAATAACTATTTACTAAATGCATATGAAAGTATATACGGTACTTATAACAAAAACACAATTTTTAAAATTTTTGTCTGTCTATCTATTTGTTCCGGCTAATCTTAGAAAGATCTGGACCGATTTCGACGGTACATTTACTGGCTGATAGCTGATGTAATAAGGAGCAACTTAGGCTACTTTTATTTTACAAAAAGAATTAGGGTTCCGCGCAAAAACTTAAAACCCTAAATTACACGCGGGCGAAGTCGCGGGGAACAGCTACTAATGAATAAAACTTTGTGTGAGCATGATACGCCCCAGCCGGCTTTAAAATAGCGACACGCGTTTTGAGCTCCAAGTGACAGTATCTGCCAAAGGCAATCAATCATCAATCAATGTTACATTGTTGAAAATAACTTTCGCTGCTTGCAGAACTAAAAGCCGAAATCAAAAGCCGAATGGACCGTAACTTTGTGCACAATATATTAAATCCGCAGAGCCCGTCTTGTAGTATCAGAGAAGTCTTTGGTATTTAGCGCATTTACATTTTCCAGCCTATATACTGCAGCCGAATGCCTCGTTATGCCATCCAATAGATGACCAATCACGGAAAAGAATGTTCACCGTACCCACCCCGCATATCAAAGTTGTGTCCACGACTCGTTCCATTATGTATACCATTTTTTTTCTGTATAGAGTAAGAGTAACAAACAAACACTCGCCCGTATACATCTGCATCTATTTTCGATTCAGAATCAAAATGCAGATGCGTTGTTACCCCTGGGGACTAAGATGGAATGCCTCGTTTCCTGTTAAAAGGATCCACGGTTCTTTACACTCAACATTCGAAAAAAAGCTATATTAAGCTGCTATTTTACTAGAGTATTCTGTGAGATAATGGTAAAGTAGCCCCTTCTGTGACGGCGTAAGACAAGTTAGGCTGTGGGTGTCGTAAAAGGCGCCAAAGGGGAAACTAAAATATGAGATAGGCAGAAGCATTTTTTGATACTTTTATTAAAAGTAACTGCAGCTGTCGATCTCCCTGCTAAGCATGGCAATCATGATAAAAGCCTATGTAATGTTCGGCAGTCGACTATTTATAGTAGCATAATACATTAATAATATATTAATGAATGAAATTCTACGTGTGTGTGTGTGTGTGTGTGTGTGTGTGTGTGTGTGTGTGTGTGTGTGTGTGTGTGTATAGCTAGCCAATTCGTGCTTCAGTCATTATATACTGCAGAGAGCTCTACGACGTAGTCCAATCAAAATGAAACATCCCCAGAGTTGGAGGCTCGCCTCGCGGACAACTATACGTGCGTGGTGCGTGGTGTGGGAGGAATGGGGGGCGAGGAGCGGGGCACGTGGGAATTGCGTGTGCGAGGCCCCCCGGCCCGGCCTCGCCTACGTCTCTCTGCCGCCGCTCCGCACGCATTGCACCTCGCATGGGACGCGCCGCCTGCAAACGATCACGTGCACAGTTAGTACAACTCTATAAGTAGTACGATATGGAGTAGTTTACTCTGCCAATACATACGGTCAGAGAAAGCATTTGTTTTGTATGGCTTGTGACAGGCTACTCGCTGGAACACGCGCGCGGTGCTGACGAGGCGTGGCACGGCACGTGGGTGGCGGGCACGGTGCGGGCTCACGCTCTGCGGCGGCTGGCGTGCGGAGCGGCATACCGTGTGCGTCTCGCAGCATTTGGTCCAGTTGGTAGTTCACCGCACAGCGCAGAGCTTGCCGTCTCCACCAGTGGCGGCCGTGAGTACATCGCCTTACCTTATCATTATCACAGCCCTTTACAACTAACCAAGGAATGCTATAAAGCACGCTCCTGACCCAACTGCTTGTATCAACTTCCTGTGTCCATTACCAGAATGCCTTGTCTACCCACACGAAACTATTACTGGCAAATTTCAAAGAAAACATATTTTTGTGGGTTCTTCTAACAAAGTAGACGTTAAAGTACTTTTTGAATATTAATTTCTCGGTCAACAAAAAATTCTTCGACCTTCCCCGACATTGTCAAAATTTATTAAGTTTATACCTCACAAACATTTGCAAAAATAAAAGGCTAATGTGAACAACATTATTCTTATACTAATCTATGTCCCATAGTACTTTTATGTTATACTTGGAAACGTTGCTAACTTTATTGCAGCGTTAGTCAAGTTAACTTCTTACGATCATTATCGCCGATAAAAAACAACAAAATCAATTCGAATGACATAATATCTAAATAATAAGTAACTTGACTTATGTTGTATTTTTTGTTGGTGTTAAAAGAAATGTCCTACACTAGCATCGAATGTAGGCTTTTATAAAAAACACATTAAACAAAGCGAACTTACAGTTCACTTGGTAGAAAGTCACTACTGCAGTCCATGTACACCAGCGGCCAACGTCATACAAAAAGGGCTACAAGTTCATTATCATTTCTGAGGACTAAGATGGGATGATTCACATATTGTAACTATACTGGTTCTCTATCTCTATGTTTCAGACCATAGCACAAGAGTGCAATCACCAATAGTTAAAATGAGAGAGTCAAAGTTTCCCACTGCCTAGTAAATATAATATATTTCAATTAAACTAATTTTTACGGATTTTATCGCGTTTAATTTAACTGTTCTATTCCTGACGTTGCGGGTGCTTTACAGCAGCCGTGGTCTCGGGCGGCTGAGGTGTTTGACGTCCCGATGTCATAGTTAACCCGGCTACCTTCAGTTTTTGAATATTAATTTTTGGTCCGATCCACGCAGAATGAGCTTACAGCATCTTAAAGTCTTGAGTCACGTCGGGAATTAAAAAGTTACATTTAACGCGATAAAATACGTATAAAATTAGTTTCATTTAATGTGTAGTTTTCGCGTAAATATAAAAAATCGTTATATAATAGATTTGTTTAAATCGATAGAAGGACGATTTTTCAGTAATATTTGTACTCAACAATGTATTAATTGCAGCACCAAAGCCAGCGCTAGAAAAAAACCTGTTCACAACAAACAGCTCCTGCATCCGTCTCAATCTTCTCACGTGGGATAGCAATGGGTGTATAATCAGCCGATTTGTGATATCCATTAAGAGTACGTATTTTTATATCTACACGTAATTAATATGTAACGATATTTTATTTAACTGGGTAGTGGCTGTGTTAGAGTATCTACTAAAGCATACGATCCCGGGGTGTCGTAAAAGTCAACAGTGGAAACCTACTCGAAATGTGCAGCAGCGTCTTCCTGATAACAACTAAAAATTTAAAAAATGCGGTTGCGAATTTGCCAACCAAGCCTGGTAACTTTGGAAAACATCCCGACATGAGGCAATCTATGAGGATAATGTTCTGCTTTCTGTTGGTTATACATTGTCCCAGGAATGAATAAATTACATACTCTGTGGTTTCGAGTAACTGGTACTACTAGCTTGTGTCAGTTCTTAGTATTTACAGATTGGACCTCACATTTTTTAAACTACTTATATTTTAGTGTATACATGCATTATATTTGCGCAAACGTTATAAAAGGTCATCATCATCATCATCATTACAACCCTTCACAAGTCCACTGCTGAACATAGGCCTCCCCCAAGGAATGCCACAAAGCACGGTCCTGAGCCATGCATCCATCGACTTCCTGCATATCTTACCAAGTCGTCACTCCATCTAGTGGGGGACGCCCTACACTTCGCCTGCCGGTACGAGGCTGCCACTCGAGAACCTTTTTTCTACATCGGTTGTCGGTTCTTCGAGCTATATGGCCGGCCCATTGCCACTTCAGCTTACTACTCCGTTGGGCTATGTCGGTCACTCTAGTTCTACTGGGGATATCCTCATTTCTAAGTTTATCACGCAGAAAAACTCCGAGCATAGCCCTCTCCATAGCTCGCTGAGCGACCTTGAGCTTCCTTATCCGGCCAGCAGTGAAGGAACACGTCTCAGTTCTATATGTCATCACTGGCAACACGCACTGGTTATACAGTCTCGTTTTCAATTTTTGAGGTATACCTGACGAGAAGATGTGCCGTAATTTCCCGAACGCTGCCCAACGAGTTGAATCCGTCGATTGACCTCTCGGTCGAAGCTGGACTTACCTAGTTGGACTATTTGTCCCAGGTAAACATACTCGTCAACAACTTCGAGCTTAGTGCTCCCAATAACTACCGGCATATGTGTGACATGGACATTAAACATGATCTTTGTTTTGTCCATGTTCATCTTAAGACCTATCCGTTGGGAAACACTATTGAGGTCATTGAACATAGTGCTTAGGTCCTCCAGCGATTCTGCCATAAGGACTACATCGTCGGCAAATTGAAGGTGAGTGATGTACTCGCAATTGATGTTGATACCGTATCCTTTCCAGTCCAGAAGCGTGAAAACGTCTTCCAATGCAGCGGTGAAGAGTTTCGGGGATATGACGTCACCCTGTCTTACACCTCTCTGCAATTGAATTGGTTTCGTACTTTGGTTCTGTACTCGGATAGCCATCGTAGCCCTACTGTACAAGCACTTCAACACTTCGATATACCGACAGTCAACTTGGCACCGCTGAAGGGACTGCAGCACCGCCCAAAATTCGACGGAATCAAAGGCTTTCTCATCGTCCACATACGCCAGACATAATGGCAAATTGTACCATCGGACTTCTGTACAATTTGCCGAAGGGTATGTTTTTTGGCCAAATATAGACATTAGAGACGCCACCCAATCACGTTCGACTTAGCAAATCGCCCGATGGTACCAGGTGTCACGCGTGTCGCGGGGAGGGGGCAGCGGAAGGCAGCTACCCAGCGTTTGGCGCTGTCGGGCAAGAGGCAGTAACTGGAAGTAGCTCGCTGGCAGCGGTACAGTTAATTAGCATATCTCGGTTGCAGCTGCTGAAGTTTCGCGCGACCGATTTTGGTTTACGGTCTAGATTTTTAGAATTTGTGCGTGTTACTTTGCTACGTAATTGTGGTTTCGTGAAAACCGCCTCGGTTTAGTTTGTCTAGGTATTAACTTTGTGACAGGAGGCTTGTATTGTATTTGACTGATTAAAGTAATTTCGTTGGAAAGTAATTACTCCAATTGTATAGTGATTGCGTGTTGAAGTGCATTTTACAATATTTAACTTGCTCGTGTGACGTGGAATTCGCGCGCGTGCTGATTAGAGATACGGTCTGGAGTTGAACTGCGCCTTCCTTTTCGGGGCGTCGCCATGTTGATTGTTTTGGAAATCATTGTTTAATTGTACCGTCGCGTTAAGAGCCTTTTGTGTGTTGACTTAGTAGCTAGTTTACGTGTCAGCTAGGTTGATTTTGAATTATTATTGCGGCGTGGTGTTTAATATCGAACGAGGGAGCTTAGTTGTGTTTGTAACGCTGAACCGTGTGACTCATGAAGAGATCGCGTTAGTTCCCTATTTGTAATTTGGTGATAAAAGAATCCGGGACATTGAATGATGAACTTTGACTACCGTTCGTTACTGGTGTCGGATATGTTCGATTCTACGATGAACGTTGAATTAGTCGAGTTGAAGTTAGTTAAATGTACAATAAAGTGGATAGACTTAAATAGTGAAATGAAGAAAGAAATGGTTCATTGGGTACGCCTGCTGGAGTGATGCCGCTGCCAGGTCACCTCAGCTGGGCCAGGTCACCCATATATACACACCACTAAACACAACTTTACATGCATCTACTCTAGATCTAAGATTCTGATCCAGGTACGTACTATTTATTTACCTCGCCCTCTCCCTATCGTGCAGTATTATAGGTCATTTTTCCATAAGGCCATTTGGGCCCGAACCCTCGGCTGCCCGTCGAGGAGGCTACTATGGGCCCTAGCCAAGTCGACTTTTGCAGGAGCAGCTGTGGGCCGTAACAGTATGTATGTGGTCTATGGTGCTAAAGCCTTTTCGGAAACCGGCTTGTTCGGGAGGCTGGAAGTCGTCAAATCTGCACGCGAGACGATTCATAATAACTCTCGAAAACAGCACGTAGACGCGGCTCAGAAGGGAAATCGGTCTGTAGTTCTTCAAGAGAGCGTTGTCGCCTTTCTTGAAGAACAAGGCCCGCACTTCTGCTCCACGCCTCCGGTGTAATGCCACCATGGAGGACGGAATTAAAGAGCTTCTGAAGGACTTCAAGTACCAGTTTTCCACCCGCTTTCAGAAGCTCCGCTGTAATTGCATCCTCGCCTGGGGCCTTGCTGTTTTTAAGGTGCTGGAGAGCCATTCTAATCTCGCTCAGACTGACGTCCGAGATATCTTCGCAATAGTGTCGGATAAGACTCGCTCTTTGATTGTTACTCACACTTGCGTGTGGCTTCAACGATGGTGTGTACAGCTGCCCATAGAACCTCTCAATCTCACTCAAAATCTCAGGTGTCCCGGAAACGACGCTGCCACTCTCGGTCTTCAGCTTCGACAGTTGGCTCTATCTGACAGACAGATCTCTAGCAAACACTTTGGAGCCCTGGTTTCGCTCGATTGCTTCTTCAATACAAGCAGTATTAAAGTTGCGTAAGTCCCGCCGCATACATTTGGAGATCTGTCTGTTCAGTTGCCTGTATGCTGTCAACTCTACTGAAGACTGCAGCTTCATACGCCGTCTAACAGCCATGAGATTAAGAGTGTGATCGGAGAGTTTTTGTGTTCTTCTGCGGCGGGTCTTGCAGAACTTAGCTCCGAACGCATGGACAGTTTACACGAGCTTTTCATTCATATCGTCCACTTCATTGCAGTCTTCCAGGCACTGAAAACGGTTTTGTAACTCGAGCTGAAAGGTTTCGGGACTTTGGAACAGAGCACGAGGGGGACGGAGCGTTGACTTCATTAGACGAGACCTCTCTAACTTAACGTTTAGGTTCAGTGTGCCTCTAACCATTCGGTGATCGCTACCAGTTTTCACCCTCGCGATCACTGAGACATCACTGAACAGTCTGTCACTGTCGTCTGGTCGTCATAATGAAGTCAATCTCATTTTTTGTCGAACCGTCGGGGCTCGACCAGGTCCACTTCCTGTGGGGCCGCTTCTGGAAAAAAGAGTTCATCATAAAGAGTCCCTCTTTCTCCATGAAGTCGGCCAACTGCTGGCCCCTTGGGTTCTGTTGCCCTATTCGGAATTTCCCTACTTTCAGCTCACCGTTCTCCCTTGTGCCTAGTTTTGCGTTGAAGTCTCTCATTAACGCCGTATAGTGGGTTTTGGAGGAATGCATGGCTATAGAGATATCCTCATACATTTCCTTCGCCTCCTCATCGGGGTGTGCCGAGGTTGGTGCGTAAACCTGTATGACCTTCAGCGAATACCGTTTGGTGATTTTGAGAATAAGGTCGCACACTTCCAATCTTTACAACGTTGTTAACGAGAGACTTGTGGACAATAAATCCGACACCTCCTTGGGACATATGGTCGCCCTCCCGGTGATAGAACAAGTTGCCGGATTCGAGGATTACCGTGTCCTACCCCTCTCTTCGGACCTCGGATAATCCTATGATATTCCAGCGCAACTTATCTATCTCTTCTTACAACTCCAGGATCTTCTCGTCAGTCCTCAGGTTGCATGCGTTATAAGTTGCCAGGTTGAGTCGTCGTAGGTGGCAACCGAATCTCCACCTGAGATTCTTAGCACCCCCTGCCCCGCCGTTACCATGGTCGCCACCGTAGGCAGAAATAGCGGGGCCGCCGGGGACTGGGGGCCGTCTCTTTGTTACTCTCATCATTTGGGGGGTTTTGCCATAGTCGCCACGCTTAGCAAGCGGGTTGGCAACCGCAGTTTTTTTATTGTAATTTGGTTGTTATCAGGAAGATGCTGCTGCCCATCTCCTGCCTGTTTCTCTTTGTCGCCTTTTACGACACCCACGGAAAGATATGGGGTGGTCGATATTCTTAACCGCCACTACACGGCATATAAAGAGTCAAATATAAGTAAAAAGGCAATATAAAAGGTCAAAGTTAATAATATAATTTCCATTAGTTTTTGTCTTTGGGTTTTAAATCGTAGATACGGCCTTCTTGCCCAAAACAAATATATTACGTAATTTCAGTGTTAAGGCTTTATATAATACCATACATATACAAAAGCAAGAATAAAGTAGTGCAGCAATTT